TCCCTCTTTTCTGGGTGCCAGGGAGGCTGTGAATGGAGGTTGGATGAAGTATTTGAGTGGGAGTAGCTCTTTCAGATGTGCCACTTTTGGGATTTAATTTCCCTAAGGATAGCAGGTGACTGATAATTTTTCCATGTTGGTGTGGATACCAGCAGATGTGGGTGCTAAAACCCCTCAGAACACAAACCTAGTGCTACATTTGGGATTTAATTTCCCTAAGGATAGCAGGTGATTGATAATTCCATGCTGGTGTGGATAATGTGACAATATTTATCAGCCAATGTGGGTGCTAAAACCCCTCAGAACACAAACCTAGTGCTACCTTTGGTGCCACATCTGGGATTTCATTTCCCTGAGGATAGCAGATGATTGATAACCCTTCCATGCTGGTGTGGATAATGTGACAATCTTTATCAGCCAATGTGGGTGCTAAAACCCCTGAGAACACAAACCTAGCACAAACTTTGGTGCCACATTTGGGATTTAATTTCCCTGAGGATAGCAGGTGATTGATAATTCCATGTTGGTGTGAGTAACAGGACAATCTACCATCCTATGTGAGTGCTAAAACCCCTCAGAACACAAACCTAGCACAAACTTTGGTGCCACATGTGGGATTTAATTTCCCTGAGGATAGCAGGTGACTGATAATTCCATGTTGGTGTAGATAATGTGACAATCTTTACCAGCAGATGTGGGCACTAAAACCCCTGAGAACACAAACCTAGCACAAACTTTGGTGCCACATTTGGGGTTTAATTTCCCTAAGGAGAGCAGGTGATTGATAATTCCATGCTGGTGTAGATAATGTGACAATATTTATCAGCCAGTGTGGGTGCTAAAACCCCAGAGAGCACAAACCTAGTGCCACATTTGGGATTTAATTTCCCTGAGGACAGCAGGTGACTGATAATGCCATGTTGGTGTGGATACCAGCAGATGTGGGTGCTAAAACCCCTCACAACACAAACCTGGTGCCACATTTGGGATTTCATTTCCCTGAGGATAGCAGATGATTGATAACCCTTCCATGCTGGTGTGGATAATGTGACAATCTTCATCAGCCAGTGTGGGCGCTAAAACCCCTGAGAACACAAAGGTAGCGCTACCTTTGGTTTCACTCCCCTCTCTGAGAACCAACTCCTGTCCTTGGCC